CTCTCTCTCTCTCTCTCTCTCTCTCTCTCTCTCTCTCTCTCGCACACAAAAAGGGTAAAGGTTAATCCTTCTGCATTGTTGGCTGGGTTTAGTGTTGCCATTAAAAAAAATTGCAAATTTGCTCATGTTTAATAACCAAGACACACAAAAAGGAAAATCTCACAGCTATATTAAATTGTCACCCCAATCTTTTATCCCTTTAAGATACATTCATAAGAATATTATTTTTAGGACCTCACAAGGTACTTTCTTTCTTTCTTTCTGTACTGGCATGTGTCCCCCACCCCCATTTTTTAAATTAATTTACAGCTTGATGAGATGGTGTCAGCAAACACCAAGAAACAAAGCGGTGTGGCATCAACAGGCAGAGTTCATGAAGGGAAAGYGACACAAACAGGTGGAGAAATATGTCCTGCAGGGCACTGGGGTGGGGGTTAACTTTATTGCAATTAATATTTTCAGTTTTTTTTACTGGAAAAAAATGGTGCCGTAAAACAGTTATATTGCACTGATCAATAAACTGAGAATAATTCAAGCTATCAAAACAAAAAGATTCAACTCAACAGGAAATAAAGCACAAATCATAACTAACATTTACAAAAACCTGAAAATATCAACGTTTAAAATACTTTAATGCAATCTGCATTAAAAACATAAAAAACAGTTCTGTAAACATAAAAGAACATGTTGGAAGCTGTAGTTACACATAAGGCTAAACCACTGAAGGCAACAGGAAACAGGCAACAATCTTAAGACAACAAACAAAAAGTTTCACAAAGATCTTTTAGTTTCAGGTTGTAAACGTCTACTGAAATAAAAGGCGTAACTGTCTGAAGTCCTGCTTTTTATAATCTCAGCCAAACATTTATGTTTGCTGTGTCGTCACAGAAGTGCTCCCATAATTTCATTCAAGAAAGTCACGTTTTATTTTGTGCACGACTCACTAATCGTGCAAAAAGGAGCCAAACAAATCCACAAACGGAGGTAGGATATTCTCAAACATAAAATGAAGTCAGCAAAACTTATTTTAGATCTGCATTTTTGACTTTTATCATTTTAGGTTAGAAACTTTTTTTTATTGATCCAAAGTGCTCTCTCTGGTGAACAAATTTCAAGACAAAAAAAAAACATATTCAGACTTGTTTTAGTTCATAGTTTGTGGGAGCGGCAGTGGCTGAAATCTACTCAAACACCACAGATCTCTGATCAGGATTTAAAATTCACAAGTTTCTGTTTGATTGTGGGCCAATTCAACCCATCTCAGGAAGCTGCAACAAACACACAACTTATGTGTAGAATTTTGTTCAGAAAGAAAGCTTTAGGTAAACCCTTAAAGTTTTGGGGAYGAAAGGTTATAAACAATCAATATCTTACCTGGTATAGATAGCTCTTTGAACAAACTCAGTTTGCAGAAACACCTGAATTCTGACTGGATTGATGAGCTAATGGCTAGTCTGAGYGGATTGCTGCCTTCCTAAAACAAACGTTACTCAGAACATTTTCATAGCTGCTCTTGCAAACACTATATTTCTGCCAGTATCACTTTATAGGGTTGGTGTTTAGTTTGTTGGAAGAATGTCAGCTAGCGGCTATTAGCTGATTAGTCTGGTCTGAATCATCAACATAAAAGRAAAAAGTGAACCTGAAAGAAGAATAGCTCATCAATCTGGTCAAAATGAACCCTATTACTCTAAAACAGTGTTTCCCAAAGTTGGGGTCGGGACCCAAAGTGGGGTCCTGAAACATCAAGGTGGGGTCCTGACAAGATTTTCTGAATTAATTACATTTTTGCCTTAGTTGTTACAAAGGAGWGAGGTTAGTGTAYTTAAAATGGATAAATGTAGTATAAAAATATTGTTACTGTGCCCGTGTTTAGTTGACCTGATCTAAATGTTTATCATCCAAAAATAGTTGGGGGCTCAGGTCTCTGCTACTGTTATTTTGTGGGTCAAAAGCTGAAAAGTTTGGGAACCAGTGCACTTTGGTTCCCAAAGTTGGGCTTGGGACCCAATTATGGGTCATGAAGCACCTTGGATAATCTCCAGAAATCAATTTAAAGGGTAATAAAATAATTGCTGATGTAATACTTTCCCTAATTATTACAAAAACACAAAATAAGTATAAATAAGTATTTATATTTGTGTATAAGCTGTTTAGATTGACAAATAGCCCGTGTTTTTAGGGTTATTAACAAAGTTTGTGTACTCAGACCAGTAATATTTGGGGTCACAAGTTTTTGCCATGGATATTTTGTGGGTCAGAAGATAAAAAGTTTGGGAACCACTGCTCCAAACTAAAGTTGATCAAAACATCTGTGTGTTAGAGCCAGACTAAGAGATTTAAAAAAATGTTATTACTGGAATAAAGTCATATTATGAGAAAAAAAAAGTCATAGGATTACYATATGACTTGTTCATTTTCCGTTCCTTGAACACTATTTTTAGCACTAAAACTTTTAGCCATTCCTTAATTAACATGAACCTAATGCTGCRTTCCATTAGTCCAGGGAAGTGGTAATTTCCCTGTTCCCATTAGTAGATTTAAACTGGAACGCCCCCTCCAGTGGTAATATTCCACTCGTACAGTGGAAGAATTGCGACTGCCCCCAGTTTCGATTTCAAGATGGCGGCTACTCGCAGCTTTAGAAAGTTAACTCCATAACTTTTATTGTTAATTATCTTTAACTCGCACAAGTAGTGTGTTTTCTGTGCAATGCTGTACTTATTAAAATCAATGTTTATTTGCATGACGTATGTAGTAGAGCTCTCTTTTTGTCATTGTTTATATTGTAGCTGTGTTGTAGCTAGGTTAGCGGCAGCAATACAATCACCTGTCGGCTAAATGGAATGCAGTTTCATTTGGTTTGTTGGGAAATGATGTCACTATCATTTACCAGGTCCGAGAATACGATGCAAATGGAACGCACCATAAATAACTTAACATTTTGGTTTCATTTTTTTCCTTTTCCTGCAACCTTTCCTCAGGTAAGTTTGAAAGATTAACCTTTATTTTGACTTTATTTGGGTACAACTCTATTTTCATATTATTTCATATTATTCTTGTATTATTACATTATTATTATTATTATTTTTCCTGGTAATATTTGCTTAATTCTCATGCAACTTTATTCTCACATTATTTAGACTTTATACTGTTATTATTATGACTTTATTTTCATGCAGGCTTTTTATTTCATAATATTATGACTTTATTCTCTTAATAAAAAAATCTCATAGTCTGGCCCTAATAATCTGTTGTAGATCAAAGAGTTATCTACATCAGGTAAGATAGTTTGTGTACATCCCCTTGCCACAGAACCACACTTCAAAACTGTCACATTTTGTTCTAGTTTGGCTTCATTTTTTCCATTTCCTGCAACGAATCTGAACTCTCCCTTTAGTGGACCATCGTTCTTTACGCACACACACACACACACAGTTACTCCACACAGGCAACAAATGCAGGACTTCCTGCAGCCGCAAACGCAGCCCAGCTGGTGCCAGAGGAGCGTTTGCTGAGCGACCAACACCCAACAGTCCTGCTGACGTACAAACAAAACAAAACCAGCTGGAGCGCAGAGACTAAACACAGCGGACTCATGCCGGCTCCCTTATTGCTCTCATGGTGCTTTCGGCTTCTTGTAGCAGTTTTGAGAAAAAGAAGAAGTCAGCAGCTACAAGTTTGTGTGGCAGATTCAGGCCACAGGCACTGACAATTAAAAAAAAAACTAGTCATGCACGTTCATTCAAATAATAAAGAAAAAGAATAATAATTTGACYGAGTCACTTTCAATGACCTAAAGCTACAATCGCCGGGATCTGTAAAAACTATACAGGAGCAGGTTTAATGTTGCAGAAAGATGATTCTAATGTGTGTATTCATTCCCTTTTTTTGTCTAAATAGCCTAAACTCTAACTTCAAAGTGCTCCTGAGATCCATTCTCCGCTCTGAAACCTTCCTGCTCGCATTTCTGCAGCTCCTCCTGCTGATCCTGGACCTGCACAGCGCCACTCTAGAGACAAACAGAGTTTTATTTAAAAAGGGAAACGCTGATCATATTTACATCATGTGAGTGAGGAGAGGAGTCTCTAGTTTCAGCCTAACTTTAGGATTTATACTCAGAAAAGAATTTAGTATTCTAACTATTAATCGTAGGTCAGTTGGATCTTTGTTTATTTACACCAAACAGTTTTGGTACAGTCTTGTAGGCGGAGGAGTTTCTCGGCAGCAGCAGCGTCATTTACTCCTGTTTAAGTTGCTACTTTTCAACCAGCTCCTGCATGTTATTTTTTGTTGTTTTTTATTTTTGTTTTTTGTTTTCACTGAAGCATTTCGGCTGTTTTTTTATTTCCTTTGTGTCAAAATGTTTTTTTCTAGTTTGGGTTTGTTTTTTCCTTTTTCCTGCAAACTTTCCTCCAGTAGAGTTTGATCTACACCTCCGGCAGGAACTCCAGAAAGCTTAAAGAGGAAGGAGGGCATATCATAAATGTGTGTCTGTATGKGTGTGTGTGTGTTCTGTCAACACTTAAACGGATCGACTTCAGAACACTCGGTGTCCATGTCGGAGTCGTACAGCGAGAGGCCCGTGGGGTCGCTGACAGGCGATGGCGGCGTCTGCGGCGGCGTTTGGGTGTGCGTGTGTGTCGTCTCCCTGGAGGTGGTGAGCGAGCAGGAGTAGAGGCCCAGGTCYGGGAGTCTGGAAGGGGAGTCGCTGTCGTCCGCGGCGCCGCCGTAGCGCAGGTCGTCCAGGTCCACGAACCACTCGGGCCAGAATCGCCGGCGGATGCGCTCGCAGTACATGGCCAGGTTGATCAGCTCGCCTGTGAGGGACGGAGAGAAACGTTTTACCCACATAAAGACAGAATGGTTGTGTGGGTTAAACAAAAACAAATGTAGAAAAATATTATCAGGGTCAGTATTTTCACACATTTAAATAAAAGGAYGTCATTAAAAACACTTTCTGCTCAGAGAAAATGCAGTTTGCTAAAGTTTATATATTTGATAGAGATGATCTTTAGCGTCTTGCATCCTAAAATTTAGCTCAATATCTTTAAAATTGGCTGAGTTATAGCAAGTATGCTATATACACACACACACACACACACACACACACACAGATATACAAATAAACATACCCAGTGCGGGGAATGCTGCACACAGAAGAAATTATCCAAACATTCACAAACATGCTCAGATGTACCCACACCCACTTTGGTACACATGTGAGTGAGCGAGTTTACAAATAATGACAAAGTGGGAAGGAAGCGTGCAGAAACACACACACACACACACACGTTGGTTCTTCTCTCCTTGTGGGGATTTTGCTTTGATTTAATCATTTACCGGTCCTTTCTACGGCTTAATCCTGACCCCTTGCTTTAAACCTAACCACCCCAGTACATACATAACCCTAAATCTAGCCTAAACTCAATTCACACCCTAGTCCAAAATCGAACCCCGCACACAAAATCAGCATCCGTACACGTGAGTCCCCATAAGGCTGTGTTTGTCTGATAAATGGCCCCCATGATATGACAAATACGTGTCCACACCACACACACCAGTGTTGCCACTGTGGTTATCCAAAGAAAACAGCAGACTGGGACTGAAAAACACTTCTCTAACTCACACAAAGTTTCTACAAAATATGGCTCAGACAATCGAAGCTGAATATGTATAAAAACACATATTACTGGTAGGATCCCAGCCAATCACCACCTGCTTTTTATTAGCCACTCATAAACATGTTTACTGTCACAGCTGTTCCACATCACACACACACACACACACACACACACA